AAGCGCCACCGCTTTCGCCGCCGCCACTGGACCGTGCCTCCGCTGCGCCTTCGACACCGTCGCCGGACTCCACTGCTACCCTACATCGACATCATGGCCAGCTCCTCCACCAAGTCTGCCGATGGTCGGTAACGCCTCCCCACTCTCATCCCCTCTCTCTCTATCTCTCTCAGTTTTAGTTCATCTTCTATGGTTTACTATATCCTAAATGCAAGTTTATACCCGATAGATCTACTGCTAGTCGGTCTTAAGTTCTATCAACGCCTTGTTCGTCACTAGGGCGCACCGCCGTACCAAAGGGGAGAGAGACATACGAGTCACGGGAGGTGGGAAGACACGGGATGCCGAAGCGCAAACGCTCGGCGGAGCGCGGCTGCCGCAGCACCGCCAAGCGTCCGGCGCCTGAGCTGAAGCAGCAACTATACCTGCTGCTGGACGACTGGGAGAGGGGCTACAACATCCGCAGGCTGGACGTCGACGCCTTCGATGCCGGTGCCAACACTGAACTGCCGCCAAAAGCGGTTCACGGAGCCACCGCTCGCCCGGATCGAAGCCCCGCACGTGAGGTCCTGGAACTTCGTCTCTCATGGCTCCAAGATCTTTGCCATGAAGGCAAAAGAAGCCAGCTCTGCCATCCCGGCCTTTGACACGCACACAATGAGTCTGACCATCTGCCCATGGCCTTCCTGCAGTGCGGATTATGTCATTCCCCTCTTTGCCTCCATCGGAGGCAAAGCTATTCGCCTTCCTAGAAGACCGCACTGAGTACCTTGCAGACCCGCCATCCTACGAAAGCAACGCCCCATGGTCTTGGTCCACAGTCAACTCGCCACTGCCGTTCTACAACATGCAAATCGTCTGTTATGCCTTGCACTCAGATGGCTGCACCCTCTTTGTGTCAATGTACATTCTCCTTTGATGCTGAGCGCCTCGAGTGGACGCACCATGGTGACTGGCTGTTGCCTTTTGCTGGCCACGCCTACTTTGATGCCGAGTTGGAAGCGTGGGTCGGCCTTGCCCGTGACAAAGATAGTGCTGGCTACCTCCATCTTGGAAGCTCGGCCTGAATAAGATGTTCCGCAAGGAGTCAGAACTGCATCGGGGCGCCAAGTTTATCTATATGGGTGACAGCAAGTTCTGCCTCACTGAGTCACTGTTCCACAAGGATGACCAGAATTTGTGCCATGACCCTACTAAGATGGACCTCTGTGACCACTACCCACCTCGGCGTTGCCGTGTGCTCCACATGACCACGTTTGGCCTCCAGTACAATAAAGCAGGAAACCTGCAGATCATGCTGCGCCAAGCTCAAGCTTGCATGATGTTTAAGCGACCTCATGATTTCACAGAGCCATCACTGGAGCCTTTGGCATTCTGGATCTAAGTTTGAACAAAATGGATGTGAACTAGGAATTCATAGCGTAATCTTTATCATGAAAACAGTGTATAATCTACCAACGATCACACGGTAAACCAATTGACCACCTATTGAAATATCACCGCTACACAAATGATTTTACGAGACAATGCACTTTTATTAACCGAGACGGTCACAAAATCCAACCACCTCCTAAAATACCTGGCGATTAACGGAGGCGGTCGTTTTTATTTACGGAGTGGGTCAGGAAATGCCTGCCTCAAAAATAGATTTATGGAGGCGGGCAAAAAAAAAACCGCCTCCAAAAATAACCTATTTTCGGAGACGGTCGTGTTAGGGTGTCCACCACCATAAATCCATTTTTGGAGGCGGACACACTATAAGACCCGTCTCCTAAAATATAGGCCCAGCTCTCAGCCAGCAGCCCATCTCGGCCCGATTCACGCTCGTAGTACATATACCTAGAGCTAGGGTTTCATTCACTTATCTCTCTCACAGCCCCTCAGACACCCCTTCCCTCAGTCGCACCCGACGCCCCCGCACCCGACGCCTCCACACCGTGGCCCCTCACTCGCCGGTCCCTCTCCCTCGCCTCTCCCATGGCAGCCCCCACCCGAGCCTCCTCCCTTCTCTCCCCCATGGAGCCCGAGCTCGGCTGGCGTAGGGCGCACGCACCTCCCTCTCCTCTCCATCTCCCCCACAGAACGCGTGCTCGGGCGGCGCACGGGGTGGTAGGCGGCGCATCCCTCTCCTCTTCGGCGGCACATCTCTCTCCCTCGAGCTCAGCCGACGCACGACGCATCCCTCTCCCTCCCTGGCGTCGCATCCCCCTACCTCAAGCTTGGTCGGTGCACGGGGAGGTCGATCCGGCCCCGGCGCAGGCGGATCGGGCGACGGAGGGCTCCACCACGACGGATCTGGCGGCAACGAGCTCCACCATGGTGGATCTGGCCCTGGCGCGGGCGGATCCGGCCCCGGCGCGAGGGATCTGGCGGCGGCGGGCTCCACCACGGCGGATCTGACCCCAGTGCGGACATATCCGGCTCCGGCGTGGCGGATCTGGCCCCGGCGCGGGTGGATCCGGCAGCGCGCAGCCCAGATCCAGGCCCAGCCCGACTCGGGCTGTGGGCTTTTTCCTTTTTTAAAAAAATTATTTTTGGAGGCCGGCAAAACAACCGCCTCCGTTAATCTGACATTAACCATGACTTTTGATTGGAGGCGGTTGTAATGGCTGCTTTCATTAATCAATTTGGCCCGTCTCCATAAAGATTTTTTTGTAGTAGTGTTGATCCTGAGATGAGTAGTTAGTATCAGGGAGTTCAGATTTATCAAAAAGTATCAGGGAGTTCAGATGCAAGATCAACTTTTTTTCTGCTCTCTTTCTCTCCTTTCATTTTTCGTTTCTTTTTTCTTTTCTTTTATACCTACCTACTTATCTTTCTTCTACATATTATGAATACTTTCTTTTTAGATCGAGAACGCGATATGAAAAAGCAGGAAAGTTGTCTACACTCTTTACTGAAGACATATAAAACGATATGATACGACCATCAAATCTGGAGGTCGAAGCTGAAGAATTTCCCCCCAAAGAGCTAAGTTTCGATCTGAAAATGAAGAAGACTTCGTCTGTATGACCTGAAAACTGAAGACATCAGTGGCGAGATCATCTCGGCTTGGTGTTTGCGTGGACCGGGCCACGGCCATTGCTGTCGCACGCGCGGTTGGCCGCGGGCACCGATGGGTCGTCGAGAGGGGCCACGGGAATCGAAGTCGCGCGAGGTAGCAGGGGACCGCCCAGTCGGCGTGCGGCCGGCCGGGACCGACGGACTCCGGGCGCTGGCTCAGTGGACAGACTTTATAATGGCATTGAGAGCCTTTTTGGCGGGCTCTGCAGGGGCTTTAGATTCGGCTCCTGCAGGAGCTGTGCTAAACGTCTGTTTTGGAAATAGTTTTACATGGGGAGCCGTTCAAGAGCTAGAGTCATTTTTTGCCTGCGCAGGAGAAACCTCAAAAACGAGCTTCGCGCAGCTCCTTGCTGTGGGTTCACGTCGTCTAGTACGAAGGAACCGTTTTGCCAAACGTTTTCAGAACGGCTTTAGCTCCTCCAGAGGAGCTGCTCCTTCAGAGGAGCCAGAGCCGGAGCTATTTTCAGAGGAGCCAGAGCCCTGCTAAACAGATTCTAAGTCTACTCTGCTTAGAATTGACGGTAACAGTGCATGAGAGATTAAAAAATAGGTCACTCTTTTTATTTTGAACGGAGAAAGTACTCATCTTCTAATTTGACTTTTGTTTGCCACGTGTAGGTTGCCAAGTCTGGGGTCAAGAAAAAGATAATCTAAGCATTATTCTTCGTCCCAAAATAAATGATGCCTTTTTACTTTCGGACATTTTGTTTGACTATTCATCTTATTTAAAAAATTTATAAATATTATTTATTTTATTATGACTTATTTATAGTTAGAGATACTTTAATAACATTTTATTTATTTTATAATTTATGCAAAAAATTAAATAAGACATATGGTCAAACATGATACGTAAAAGTAAAAAAATATCATTTATTTTGGGACGAATAAAGTAAGCTTGTATTTTGTCAAGGGGGGCTCGTGTTCCAGCTTATATATTATTTATGTCTCATCAGTTTTTGTACACAAAGGAAATGAAAATAGCATGACCTGTTTTACATGTATTCCCTCCGTTCTTTTTTAACTATCGTTCTTATTTTTCGAGAACTTTGAAAGTACTCAATTTTGACTAAATATATAAAAATATTAATATTTATGATACACATTTAATATATTAGATTAGATGGATCGATGAATCTTTTATAAAATCTAGTCAAATTTATAATAAACTTATTTTGAAATTGCTAATACACAATCGGTTTTGTACACCAAGGAAGCATAAAGCGTGACCTATTTCACATGTACTCCCTCCATCCCTTTTTAACACTCACTTTCCGAGAAATCAAACATACTAAACTTTGACTAAATATATATAAAAATATTAATGTTTATGATACACAATTAGTATAATTAGATAGATCATTAAATTTATTTTCATAATAAACTTATTTAGAATATAAATATTACTAATATATTTATAAATCTATTTGAAGTTAAAAAAGTTTGACCGCTATATAGTAATAAATAACACTTAAAAGAGGACAGAGGAAATAACATTCACTTTGCAAATTTTTGCAACCTGATGAATAGTACCACTTTCGTTTTATTTGACAAATATTATCTAATCGTGGACCAACTAGGCTCAAAAGATTCATCTCGTGATTTCCAACTAAACTGTGTAATTAGTTATTATTTTTACCTACATTTAATACTCCATGTAAACGGCTAAAAATTAATGTGATGGAAAAAGAGTGAAAAAACTTGGAATTTGGATGGCATCTAAACGAGCCCCTACTCTATGCTAAACGTCACGCCACCATAAGTTCCGAATCAGTTGATCCATTCGTCACCAGTGACGTTAGTGGCCAAGCTTAAGCCCCTGCTCCTGTCACTCGGAACACTTGCACACCACTGGTCCATTCAATGCCGCCAGCCTCATCTTTCTAGCTAGCTAAGACCATCCATCCTGGTCTTGAATTTGCGTGTTCGTCGAAAGCATGCAGCAACAGGAGGCCATTGAGGACATCGTCGTCGTGGGCGCCGGGCTCGCTGGCCTCGCGACAGCTCTCGGGCTGCACCGGTAACTAACATGCGTCCTTACTTTGATTCGATCCGCCAAAAGGTCGGAACGGTGGCGCTCATCAATTACGCCGCAGAAGAGGGGTGAGGAGCTTGGTCCTGGAGTCGTCGCCGGCGCTGAGGACGTCGGGGTTCGCGTTCACGGCGTGGCAGAATGCCTTCCGGGCCCTCGACGCCCTCGGGGTGGGCGACAAGATCAGGAAGCAGCATCCCCAGGCTCAGGCGTACGTTACCATTCCTTCCCATCCTATCTCTCCAACAGTCTCACTCTCACCGCCGCCTCTGGATTCTGGAAGACTGGGACTCTGGAAGTCTGGCCACTGGCCTGCTGCCCTGCTCCCAAGAGAGACCGACTCGCCCCAGGACTCTTCTGATGCTTGCAGGCTGCGCGTCATGTCCTCGTCGACTGGGGAAGTTGCGCAGGAGCTGGACCTCACGGTGCAGCCGAAACGGTGAGGCCGCAATCACCACCGATCACACATTTTGTTTGGAACAGCTGGTACAGACTGATCGACATGAGCGCCGCCACTCTCTGAGGTACAGTGGAGGATGCAATGAAATCCGTTGCGTCAGGCGGGACTTGTTGGTGCAGGCCTTGGAGGAGGAGCTGCCAAGAGGCACCATCCGCTACTCCTCCAGGATCGTATCCATCGAGGAGGACGGCAACCTCAAGGTCCTGCAACTGGCCGATGGCTCGGAGCTGAGAGCAAAGGTAACCTCAAAAAATGGGTGTCTGCTGTACACTACGTACGCTGCTCTGCTATATCGTAGAGCTGTTGTTCAGTTCAGGAGCTGTGTGTCCCTCTCTACATCTGCAGGTAAGGATGAAAATGGAACGGAAATATCCCGAATCGAATCGCATCGTTTTTTATATTTAATCCGATCGAATCCGCATTTTCTTGTCCGACTTCACTGTTTTCGTTTTCGCATTTGAGATGTTTCGTATTTCAAATGTAAAAGTAGAAAACGGTTTACACATTTTTCGACCGTTTTTTACTTTTCTACTTCTAATTTGAAATATTCCGAATTCAAAATTCGGTTTAAACCGAATTTGGCCAACTGCACAGGTCATACAGTCCAATTACAAGCTGCTCACCACGCAGCTACGTTCTTTCTACTGGTGGCTAGCTGCCCTCTCTTATAGACGGCGTCCAACCTCATCTCTCTTATTATGTATTTGGTCGTGCACTTGTTTAATGCTATGCACTTAAACTAGATCATGCGCTTGTTAGTTGTGAACTTGTTATGTATTTGGTTGTGCACTTGTTTAATGCTATGCACTGTGGGTCGGTATTTCGTATTGAATTTTCGCATACCGACCGTGTTCGACATAATTCCGCTCGAATTAGTTCGTTTCCGAAATTCTAGATATTCCGTAAGTTCATGTTCGTTTTCGTGTCCGGCTTGTCCGCTTTCGCTTTCGTTTTCGTATTTCAAATGTAAAAGTAGAAAACGGTTGAGAAGTTTTTCGACCGGGTTCGACCGTTTTCATCCTTATCTGCAGGTGCTGATCGGATGCGACGGGATCAACTCGGTGGTGGCCAAATGGCTGGGCCTCGCGGAGCCGACCCACTCGGGGCGCATGGCGGCGAGAGGCCTCGCGCGCTTCCCGGACGGCCACGGCTTCGAGCCCAAGTTCCTGCAGTTCAACGGCCGCGGCTTCCGCTCCGGCATGCGACCCTGCAACGACACTGACATCTACTGGTTCTTCAGCTGGACTCCCACTGAAAACGGTTAGTAGTAGTCATGCTGCCAATGTAGAGGCATGATTTTCTATCGTTTCTAGAGGTTGATGATTTTGTTTTCCCTAAACGTGGTGATAATTCTACCCGAATTCCGTAACTGCAGATAAAGCCATCGTCGAGGGTGGCACTAAGCTGAAGCGGTTCGTGCTGGCAAACCTGGCGGCCTTAAAGGTGCCAGCGAAGGCGCTGGCGGCGATCGAGGCGAGCGACGACGTCTTCGCGGTGCCGCTGCGGTTCCGGCCGCCGCTGTCGCCTGTAGCCGCGAGCATCAGCAAGGGCGGCGTCTGCGTGGCCGGCGACGCGCTGCACCCGATGACGCCGGACCTGGGCCAGGGCGCCTGCGCCGCGCTAGAGGACAGCGTCGTCCTGGCCAGGTGCCTCGGCAAGGCCGTGCTCGGCGAGGGCGGCACCGGCGGTGGAGGAGCGTCCAGCTCATTGCCACTGCCTACGTGGTCGGCTTCATGCAGCAGAGCAACAATGCCGTCGTGAGCTTCCTGCGGGACAAGGTTTTATCTGGCTTCCTCGCGAGAACTCTTCTCAAGATGTCAAACTACGACTGTGGCACGCTCTGAGATATTACCACCATCTAAAAAAAGCACTATGGAGATTGGCTATTTGGCTATGCAAAAGAAGAAAACTTTTTGTGACAAACGGGGCGTAGTTAGACTTGTCAGGTCTAGAGTAAACATGTGCTGTTGCGTGCCATTCTATAATTATAAATTGCTTAGGGCTTGAGGATTGTTTTTCTTTGGCAAACTTGCAACTCCTAACCTCGTTATTAAATTTAGGTTGAGTCGTCTACTTCGGTTTGGCATCCTCGGATCCCATAGTCTAGTATTTATGGTTTTTTGTTATGATAGTTATGTATTTTAATTTGGCATTAGGAGTACTATACCAGTTTATTTTTAATCTGAGTTTCACGTTAAGCGCATGAGAGTTTTTACTTTTGCTCGTGTTCTGAACAAAGATATCAATTATACATGCAAGGGAATGGCTCCGTTCGGCTTGCTGAAACTTGACTGAATTGGCTGAAAAACACTGTTCTGGCTGGATTATTGTGAGAGAAAAATACTGTTCCGACTAAAAAAACAAAATGAATAGTGCGGATTATAAGGTAAGCCGAACGAGGCAATTGGGATTAAACCCCAAGGGGATTGAATGACATGGAAGGGTCCAAGAGATCCACTCAATCCCTCACTGAACATAATAAGCTTGGAGATTTAACCGCCTATCAAACAGAACATAGATTGAGGGTTTGTTTCTCGCATTGACGGCTAACTGGATAAGCTCTGTAGAGGGTTAATCACCAATCGGAAAAGATTGGGAGGAATTTTATCCCCTGCAAGTTAAATTTTTAACCCAATTCCTTTCAATTCCTTCAGATTAGAAATTAACCAAACAAGAACGGGCAACAAGATCTACCGTCGTCTGTAGGGAAATGGGGAAATGCAGGATTTCGGTTCTCGGTTGCCTGCTTGAGCTGACAGCCATGATGATACCTCTGCTAAAAACAGCTGATCAAGCCAGCCATTTTTTTTGGGCCTGCACATGTCCGGAGATTTTGCTGTGCCTGCCGTCTTTTCATCCGTATCATTAAACGTGCGTACAAGCTGTGCACGACTGCACGTTCATGTTGAGAATTTGGTTTCTTTCGCAAAAGAATAAAAAGGGGAAGGGGAAGAAAATGAGAGAAGAGGAAAATTTGAGATGCCATGGAACAAGTCTCAATCCCAATCCTGCCGTAGCAAATTCCGAGTGCAAAAGATAGGCCTGGAGAAGAAAGCCAACTTCAGATCGGTACTAGACTAGAAAGGCCACTAACCAGGCTGGGCTCATGTAGCGCTATTTCTCGTCGGCCCAGTCCATACCCTGCGACACGAGTGGTCCGACCAGTGCAGCGCCGTGGGAAGCCCCTCAACCGTCTGGGAGGGATCCAACGGCACTTGGTGGGTGCACTGGTCTACCATCTTCCCAAGTGAGAGAGTGGATGTCATAATTTATGGTGGAGGGGTACGTGTTCGCGCGGCCCCTGCCAGCTCTAAAGATTTAAATTTTGGTCTTGATTTAAATTTCGGTCCCTAGAACAAGAGTAGTCTCTACGTTTTTGCCATGTTCGTTTGACTGATAAGTTATGACTGAAAGTACCGTTAACTGATTTGTTGTGAGAGAAAAATATTATTCGTTGACTGAAAAAATACGGCTTATAAGCCAAGCGAACAGGACGTCTATTCTTGCAAGGACTTGCGTCAAATTTTGTTTTTGAGAAAATGACAGATAGGCCTGCCGCAAGAAATTGGGCCTGTGAAAGCCTGATCTGGTCTTTCTGGATTGTGTGTTTTTTGTTTTCTACCAAATATAATATAATAATAACGCAGTTCAAAAAATATATAATAATTTTTAAATCAGACCACGTTCAGCAAATCGCAATAAGAGAGATGTCAACTGATTCTTGGATTAAGCAAAGCTGCGGTTAAGCATCAGGAGGGAATAAAAGAGAGATGTTAACTGATTCTGGGATTCAGCAAAGCTGCGGGTAAGCATCAGGAGGGAATACAAATTTTTATTTTTATTTTTGCGGGTAGGAATATATTTTTTTATGACACAACCATGAATAGAAATATTGTTCACCCGCCATAATGAATCGTTATGGAAATTGATTGTGGGTTTGAGTATAAGCAACAATGATATATCCTTCCTGATTATTATGACATTGAAGACATCCTCATGCACGAGGGAAGGTTGTACCAATTATGTTCTGTATTTTGGCTAGAAATTTCCCTATGTAGCAATCCAAAATTCATCTGCTGATAAACCATAGTTTTGCATTGTTGCATCACATTCACATAGCAATAAAATCCAAAATGTTACTGAAACTTCCAGTTTATAGTGGTCTGTTGATATCTAATAACTTTTTTTTTGTGTGACAAAGGTACATTGCCATGCGAAATAGATAATCTATTTCAACTGCCCGACGAATTTTGCTATTTCTCCAAATATGTTTTACCTTGTGAATTTGATTTCAATGGGTTTGTGACATTTGTATCTCTTAAAAAAAACTATGCATGTCTATCGTATTGGCATTTGTATCTTTTGTTATGCTCTGAATAAATAATTTCTAGCAGATAACATTTTTATTCCATCACCATCCATATTACTATGTTGTTATGAATGTGGCAATGTGCTGGACCACTCCATCTAGCTCGCTATCCCCGTGTGTTATCTGGGAGTGCAGTTGTAGCATAAAGAATGAGAAAAGGGGGAGACTGGGGGAGGAGAAAGGGTACAAGGGAGAGAGAGAGATAAAATTTAGAAAAGTAAACTCAACCCAATCAATTTAGATCATAAAGTCATACAAATCTTACAATAGATCGTGTTCCCGACAATTATGCTTACTTATATAATATATATGAACTGACTTGTTCTCTCTCTAAAAAAATATATGAACTGACTCGGGAGTTTCATTGTTATATCACTATTGCTCGATTATGAAGAATTTTTCTGATAGACACGTGTGTGTTGCACATACATTTTTACTAGTTAAAAAAAACTGGAGAAAACAATTGATAGATATAGAATACGTACGTTGCGAATCAGGTCTGCCTTAGCCCAAAGCCGGGAAAACCTGTGATCCTCCAAGCAGGCAGTAGATGAGCCAGAACAATTGAGTAATCGAAGCCCAACCTAGGCCGACAAGCTCATAGGAGTGGGCTCGTTACACGCCATTTTCTATACGATGAGAACCGGCTTTCCCTTTGGCCCGGTCCGACACGGAGCTAGGGCTGAAAACGATAACGATAATTTCTGTTTACAGAGGATCGTTTTTGAAAAATTACCGACTTTTGCTCTTGAATGGAAGCGGTGATGGTAACCGAGAAAACAAAAATGAGAATGGTAAAACTATTCATTAATGAAAACGAAAATGATTTGCCTCACTTCCGACCGTTTTCGAAAAATACCGTAATTGGCCGGTGTTCTACCGTCGATAATTATCGTATCCTAGACAGTCCACAAGCCCACAACGCCATCCCTGGCTCTTCCTGAATCATAGGTTAGGCCCAGCCGGCTGAGTGTTGAGCGCTCACTTTGTCAGCCTTATCCCCACGCAAGAATCATGTTTCTTGCATTATTCCTCGTTTCTATCCTTTTTTAAGTCAAGTATCGGGTACTGTTTCAGCAGTACTTTTCAGCGAACGAATATTGTTTTCCTCTCATCTCATTTCAGCATAAGCCAAATTTCAGCGAAATGAACAGGTTCGGTTACGAGTGTACTGGTACATTCAATTTTGTGAGTGGCTAATATTCCCAGCAAGAAAAAGAGTGGCTAATATGTCTATGTGGCTATCAGCTTGTGTGCTCGTGAGATCTAACTCTTAAGTCCAGGACGTCGAACTTGTGGTTGTGGGCTTATGGCTTTGTTACTTATGGTTCTTTCGTATCGAGTATAACTATGTGTCAAGCTATATAGCTATTGTCATGCGCCGCAGATTGATGTGTTTATCGTATTTCAGTGCTTCCATGATTTTAGATAGTTGTCAATGCACTTTCAAACAAATAGTTCCGTTTCCAAATTTACGTATTTGTTTCCATCAATATCGTACCCCTACAGTTGGGGCTGATCTGTAGGGGCAGCTGATTGAGCCGCCCCTCAGTGCCCACTTGTCTTTTTTCAAATTTCAAAATTTGAAAGGTTCAAATTTTGTTAAATGATAAGATAATCAAAATAAAAGTTGTAGATCTTGATGAGTTGAACAACTTTTGTATTTATCACTTTTACATATGAAATCATTTAGGGTTTGAAAATTTGGTTTAAACTTGTTAAATTTCAAATTTCAAATTTTAAAATGTGTAAAACATTGTCACATCCAAGTTTGATCAAACTTAAATGCTGAAGCATGATTTTAAAAACTTTTAGGAAAAAAAATTATCACATTTGGAGTTAGTATAAGGGAGAACAACTAGTTACAAAGTTTACTCACAGATTAAAAAAAGAAATCACACTGTTCTAAATGATCCTTACATGATCATAGTGAGCAGTGTGATTTTTTTTAATCTGTGGGTCAACTTTGTAACTAGTTTTTCTTTCTCATACTAACTCCAAATCTGATAATTTTTTTTCTAAAATTTTCTAAAATCATTCTCTATCAATTTATTTTGTTGGTTTTGTCAATATATACATATGAAAAGTTTGAGCAATTTAAATTTTGAATTTTAAAAATATACAACTTCAGACAAGATTTTGGTTCTCCAAATGATTTCATCTGAAAAAGTGATACATACCAAAATTGAATAACTCATCAAGATCTACAACTTTTGTATTGGTCATTTCTTCATATAATAAAGTGGTAACGACATTGTTCACAAATGTGACACATCTCTCATAAGGTTTTATAAACTATATGAGACATGTGTAAGATTAGTGAACAATGTATGCTAAGAATTTGTCAAATGAAGAAATGACCAAAATAAAAGTTGTATATATTCATGAGTTG